GATAAATCTAAAGCCTGTTATATAGAGCAATGTACGTCAGAAAGAGAAAAATGAAAATTGTATATTAATGCATAGTGTGCAGTCTAGAAAAATGGTACTGATGAACCTATTTGCAGGGCAGGAATAGAAATGCAAACATAGAGAAGGAGAGAGAGGGTGGGATGAATTGAGAGAGTAACAATAAAACATATACATCACCATATGTGAAATAGACAGCTAATGAGAAGTTGCTGTATAACACAGGTAGCCTGACCTGGTAATTTATGACTTAGAGGGGTGGAATGGGGTGGGGGGTGGGAGGGAGGTTCAAGAGAGAGGGGTTGTATGTATGCTTACAAGTGATTCATGTTGTTTGGCAGAAACCAGCACAACATTGTACAGCAAGTATCCTCCAATTAAAAATAAGTTTAAAAAATGTATTGGATACTTACCACATACTGGACATGGTACTAGGTGCTAGGTCATGGTGCTAGGTGGTCAACAAAAGACACAGTACCTACTCTCTCGGAACTTACAGGAGTGCAGGCTACTTACAGTGGTAAACTACTGTGTTAGGCTCTGGGAGAATAAAAAGATGAAAATACAAGGCTCCTGCTATCAGGGGATTCACAAATAATAAGTAAGTCTAAAATAAAGATGAGTTTTTTCCACCAAGAAGTTATTCTTCAGAAACGACTTGACTTTTTATGAACACCTTTACCACTTAGGTGGAAATGAAACTGCCATGCTCTGGAAAATTGACTCAAAGCATCTATGGTATTGAGGAAGACACTGATGTTAAAGATGTATTGAGGGTTGTGAATAACATTATTTTATAAAATGTGAGAAAAATAGTGTTTCTAAGTTAGCTGCTATTTTATATAATTGCTTAATTTTATTGGTAAATATTTCAGTACGAGTACTAAAAGATTAAGATTCTTTTAAAAAATAACCATAGTGTCACCTAAAAGAAAAAATAACAATTTGCGAAAATAACTCTTTGCGACCCTGTGAACTGTATGGACTATAGTCTGCCAGGCTCCTCTGTCCATGGGATTCTCCAGGCAAGAATACTGGAGTGGGTTGCCGTTTCCTCCTCCAGGGGATCTTCCCAAACCAGGGATGGAACCCAGGTCTCTTGCATTGTAGGCAGATTCTTTACCATCTGAACCACCAGGGAAATCCCAAAAGGTAAAGATTCTTTAAAAAATAAGCATAGTACCACCTAAAGAGAAAATAACAATTTCCTTAATGTCATGAAAGGAAAACTTCCAGTTGTCTCAAATGTCATATCCTTAAAAAATATTTTGTCAATAACTAATGAATTATTTTGGTTAGTTTGTTTAAATCAAGATTCAAATTAAGTCCACACGTTGTGATTGGTTTGTTGTCTCATTTGACCTGTTGGTTTTAGGTTCCTCTGTCTTTATCTCTTTGTCTTCTTGCTATTATTTATTTAAAAATATTTTTGTTTATTAAAAAAAGATGGTGGGGGGAGGGTTTATTCTATAGCTGTAGAGTTTCCCACAGTCTGGATTTTGCTGAATATATTCCTGTGGTGTTGTTTTTCCATGGAACTGTGTTTCTTTGTATTTTCGGGAAATTGATTTTTGGGTGTAGAGTCTTGATCAGATTCAGGAACAATTTATTTGGTAAGATTACCTCATGGGTGGTGATAAGGTCTCCCATTAGGAGGCATAGTGTCTGGTTGTCTCTTTTTGTGGTGTTACTGGCCTTGACAATCAGTGCAGTCCATTAGGGATTGTAAAATGGCAATGTCCTAATGCTAGCATTCTTTTTTCATTTACTCTTTTCTATAATAGGAAACTTCTCTCATCTACTCTATGGTATCACTCTAAGGTACAATTTATATAGGAAAGCCAGGATGAATTTTTACCAGTTTGCAAAATAATGAATTGGTTTGCTAGTATTGGGGCTTCCCTGGTGGCTCAGCTGGTAAAGAATCTGCCTGCAATGCAGGAGACCTGGGTTCGATCCTGGGTTGGGAAGATCCCCTGGAGAAGGAAACGGCTATCCTCTCCAGTATTCTGACCTGGAGAATTCCATGGACTGCATAGTCCATGGGGTCTCAAAGAATCGGACACGACTGAGCGACTTTCACTTGCTAGTGTTGTGCTTCCCTGGAGGCTTACATGATAAAAGAGTCTGTCTGCAGTGCAGGAGACCTGGGTTGGGTCCCTGGGTCGGGAAGATTCCCAGGAGGAGAGAACGGCAAACCACTCCATTATTCTTGCCTGGAGAGTCTCTTGGACAGAGAAGCCTGGTGGGCTACAGTCCATGGCGTTACAAAGAGTCAGACAGGCATGAGTGACTAACACTTTCACTTCACTTTTTCACTTGCTACTGTTATCCTCCAATGTTGACCAGTTAACTAATTTTTAAAGTGACATGGTGATCTCATGGATTCAAACATATTTGATATAGTCAATCTGTTACAGTTATCACCCTTACTGATGCTCAGATTGTCCTGTGTTAGTAAGTGCCCTAAGTTGGACCTTGTATCCTTTTGACATAAACCTAGTTGTCTTTGAGTGTCTTTTAGCACAAAATGGTATGTTGAGAGACCACAGTCTAGGTGCTAATGATTCTTATTGCTACAGACTGATAATTTTTTCTAGACATTTTTTCTGGACAGAGCTAGGAAATATAAATTTATAAATTTGAAAACATTTAAAGTTATAAATATATCATATATATATATTCTTGTTGATACTTCCAATTCAAATTCAGGGCTATATAGTTTTTACTTAACTTCTGCCTTACAACTGTATCTCCTTTCACCCCTGCTGAGAACCCCAGGTCTCAAGTCACACTGAGAGTGCCAGGGTAAGTTCACATAATCATTTACTGTATTTCACAGTACAGAACAGTCTCCAAAAAATAACACCAACACTGTAACCAACAATATGACAACTAAAAAGCAGTTTCAGATCTTTTCAAATTCTTTTTGTCCTTAGGGTATATGTCACTAAGGATGTTCAGTCAGTTTATTATGTTTTAAATTTATTTGGAATAATTTCTCTTAGAATAGTTATGCCATCGATTTGGCATTTATTTCCATTTTCTTGGAACTGTTTTTTAAATTTTTGGGTTTTTTAAAATAAATTAATTTTGTTTTAAAATTTTCAATGTAAGTAATCTTCGCAGAAGTTTATTTTCTGTCCTTGTCATCTTTATCCCATTGCCTCCTTCCTCTGTAGGTAACTACTTAAAAATATCCCTTATGGCTTATTCTTCCTTTATATGTTTCTTAAGTATAAGCAGAGACTTTTGTTCCAACACCCTTTCTTAGCTAAAAGCAAATTAAACAGTTTTCTCCACCTTCCTTTTTATTTTTTAAAACATAGGGGACATAGATTATGACTATAAAATAGTAAAATTGAACCTAAAGCTGGAATGTTGAGCAGGATGGAAGGATGGTGAGGATTTGGTGTGTTGGAGAGTTGGGGAAGAGCCTATTAGATGACTAGACAGTGTGAGCAAAGACATGAAGATGGGAATGTGTGTGCTGCCCGTGGGGTCAGAGAACCTGGCTGGAGTTGCAGGTTTGGTAGAAGAAATTGACTGGCAGGGAAATTAGCTAAGATCTTTTTTGAAATAATTCCGGAACTGGTAAGGGTCTTAATAAGGTGTAGATGCCATTACATTTATTCTTTTAAAAAAAATTTACTGAGCACCTCCTATGCAAAAAATCCATTGGGTGTTGGGGAAACCATGGTGAGGAAGACAGATATGGTCCCTCCCTAAGAAGCAGAGAGATTTCATTTCTAAGGAGAAATACAGTGTACTTTGGGGGCATATAAAAGGAGGGTAGTCAGGAAAGGCTTCTAAGGAAGTACTTTTAGGCTGAGATTGGGATGATGAAAAAGTGTTAGCTCCTGGTGATGGAGGTGGGCTTAGCAGGGAGAGGGGGATAGTTTTAGGTTCAGGGAAGAATGCGAGTGTGATTCCAGAACTCAAAAAAATGTCCACTGTGACTGAAAGGGCAGGAGAGTGGGCGACAGAGAGGATGAGAGTTGAGAGTGAACCTGAGAGAATTGCAAAGGAGGACTTGATAAGAAAAGGGAACTGTTTCCTGGAAGGTATACGATGGGGACTCAATACATTTAATGGATGAATAAGTTTGAAATTTCAAACATGGACTAAGAAATCATGGAGCCAAGGAGCCATGGGTAGGAGTAAGTAAATGAGCACAGGATGTTATTTTAAAAGGAAGATTCATTGGGTTTTAGACATATGGATCTTGAGGCATGGCATCACAGTGGCTTGTCAAATACTGAGCCTCATAGCTTCAGTATGCTGTTGAAATTGCAAGACTCAAGCATGGGAAACAGAAGGTAGAGTGCTCATCCTTGGGAATTATGGTTGGAGGAAGGAGATGAGCCTTAGAATGGGGCAGAGGAGCAGGATGGAGTATTTCAAGAACAGAGTGGTAAATAGGCTTCATGCTGCAGAGAGGTCAAGGAGACCAACACTTTCTTTTTGGCCATGCCATGCAGCTTGTAAGATGTTAGGTCCCCAACCAGGGATTGAACCTGGGCCCTTGGCAGTGAGAGTACAGAGTCCTAACCACTGGACCACCAGGGAATCCCCTCAAAGAGACCAGCTTATACCAAATGAGGCACTATGGTTGACACCACTTGCAAAATTCCAATACATTGTTCAGACTTATGGGTAGAGTATGGAGGTGGGAAAGACATTGGATCCATAGTTACAAGACCTCGGCTCAATCCTACTTCTGCCTTTTACCATGTTTCTGACCTTGGGCAATAATTACTTAAAGTTTTCCGGGTCTCAGGCTGTTTATTTATGAAATGAGAAAGAATGGCTGCCATGTTTGCATCTCAGAGTTATTGTGAGGTTCAAATTGAAAATATCTGTAAACCATTGGGTTTTCCCCTTCAGTGTTGCATAAAGGGTAAGGCAAACACACAGTACTTGAATGAAAGTTTGAATGAATGTTTGAGTATTACTGTGACTACTAATTTATGTTTCAACAGAGACAAGATGAAGAAGCTGTGGTGGATCAGGGTGGGACCAGCACAATTCTCAACATCCACTATGAGAAGGAAGAGTTGGAAGGTAAGCCCTGCTGTTTCGTGTACTGAGGGAAATCAGTGAGAGACAGTCTGGTGGGGGAGGAGCAGCTTTGCTCTCAGGAGACCTGGGCTGGAGTCCTAACTCTGGCTCACTAGTTGTGATACCTTGGGGAAAAATCACTTTATTTCCCTTAGCCTCAATTTCCTCATCTCTTAAACAAAAGTAGACAAAATACTACCTGTCTTACTGTTAGAATCTAGTAGACAGCTAGTGAGACAGTGCTTTGAGGACAGTAAAGTCCAATGTAAGTACTAATAAATGACCTATTCCTTGAGAATGTGAAGCACTCAGATCAGCTTATTGATTCTTGATGATTGCTTAGAATCAGTAAGCAAAAATTACAGATCTGTATAAAACACAAACACAAATCTATACAAAAGAAATAAAATACAAATAGTTTTAAAAACTCAGTTTAAACATAAAACCTTATTTTTATCCCATTTCCAATGTTTGCATTTCCCTTTAATACCCATTTCTGTCTGGTGTTTTCATCTAAAGAAGAGGGAACACACACATACACCTGTAGTATATTTGCTGAGGGTCCACAGCACAGAGTCGTATAAAAACCCACTGAAGTGGAAGGGCAGGAAGAGGCATTTTAATCGACCTGCTCTGTCCATCTCTCTGTCAAGGCTCTTCTCCCCTCCCCACCCCCAACTCCCCACATGACCATCATGTGCTGTCCTTCTGCTTTCCTTTTTCCCACAGAGCCTAGTGTCCTGGTAATGATGGTGATGCTCAGTTCTATTAAAGAAAGGCTTGAGTCCACGACAACTTTAACACGAACCCACATTTGGCCCAAAAGCCTTTGTGAAATCTCTATAGCATCTCCTGCAACGTTGAAGGCTATGATACAGCAACTTTCTAATGATTGAGACAGCATGTGAAATGTTCTCTCTGTACTGCTTGTTCCCGTGCTGGGTTTTTTTTTTTTTTTTTTCATCAAAGTTGTACAATGCCCAGAGAAAACTTGTCCTTTGGTTGGGAGAGTCAAAGCTGCAGAGGCTGACTCAGCCTCTGGGTCTGTTACCATGAGATTTCTGTGGGTGGCTCCGTGGAGGTCACTGGCGTTCGGATGTATCAAGATCAAGCTTCCCAAGTTATTTTGACCAGATGGAAGAGGAGCCAGTGTGGCTTTCAGCAGTTGGAAGAAAGTGCAAGAAAGAAGGGTGTGGTGGTGGGAGGCGAACTTTTGTTGAATACCCCTTTGTGTGATAAGCATTTGATTAGGCACTTCTTTGTCTTTTTAATCTTCACAGCAATCAAGGCAGGTAGCTCTCATCCCCATTTTACATGATGGGGAAACTTCTCAGGCTCTGAGCAGGTAAGACTGGGATGGAATTCTACTCTTTCCACTCTATCATACTACCTGCAAAGGAGGACTGTACTCAGAGTTAACCACCCAACCTCAACATCCTGCTCCATCATGTGAACATTTTTATGTATTGCCCCTCCCCTTCTTCTGCCTTGTTAATCCTATTACCTCTCTATCCTCTCACTGTACTGTGGGAGTACTGTCACTTTTAGTTTAGTCGTCTGAGCCCACTAGACCTTTGCCCTCAGCTAGAAGTTAACCATTTATGAATACTCTTCTCTACTTGGGAGTAGAATAATTAGCCTGGACAAACTCTCTTGGGTCCCAAGGACTGAGTTCCATCACAGAGATCAGCTGAGTAACTGGCAGTAGGAGCATCTTCTCAAGAAGACATCATCTATTCCTTACATAGTTTCTACATTTTCCTGTAAAAGAAGGCCACATGTGATGATGGCATTGCTAGGAGATAGTGTACAAGGAAACAGTCATTTACACATAGACCATTTTGAAAATGAGAATCTTATTTATTATATTGGCACTGAAGAAAAAAGCACTATAGGCAAATGGAGGACAAATAGTGCCCACTCCTCAGGCCTGATATGGTTCTTGAGTAACTCTGGAGAGAAGAGGAAGTTGTAATGTGCCGTAGGATTGACCGTGCTGTGGGCTCCCAGGGCATCCCATAGCTCAGGAAGGCTGTGCTCAGGCAGGTGCTGCCTCTAGAAGACATGGAATAAAATCAGTTCACTCTGATGGAAGACAAGTAAACTGTTCTAATTGTATTCCAGTTCGCTATGTGTGCCATGCTACAAGGTTCTGTGGCTGCAGATAAATCTCTGGGTCTTCCTTCCCCTTTGTTCTACGCCCTTGACACCACCTAATATAAACCATGTTCAGAACTACTTCTGAGATGTAATCTCTGGACATTGTTAGAGACTTTTGTAAACGTGAGGGTTGTTTTTTTCTTTTTTTGCATAAATTAACTCCATCAGCAGGAGAAGGTGCACTAAACCATTACATTGTGTATGTGCTCAGTTGTGTTCAACTCTTTGCGACCCTAGGGACTGTAGCCCACCAGACTCCTCTGTCCATGGACTATTCTTGAAAAGAATGCTGGAGTGGGTTGCCATTTCCTCCTCCAGGGGATCTTCCTGACCCAGGGATAGAGCTCATGTCTCTGTCTTCTGCATTGGCAGGCAGATTTTTTTTTTTTTTTTTTACCACTGTGCCACCTGGGAAGCCTTTGCTTTATATATATATACATACATATACATATATGTATGTGTAGATATATATACACACACACACACACACATATATATATATATATACACATATATATATGAAGAGTTAAAAGCAAACATTAGGACGGATTTCCAAAGAGAAACTCAAAACGAGCAATAGTGGATGACTTCTTCAGTGGACTCTCCCAGTCCCAGAGGAACATAGAGCAGTGGCTTTATTTAGAGAAATGGCTTTTTCCATATTTTCTGGCATATCATTATTCCTGATTACCTACTACACTAATGAATCCTAGAGTGAATTTGGTACCTTCAAATAAGTTTTTAACAGAGGTAAGAGCCGTTTGGCCTTAGTTATAAGTTGGGAAAAAGGGGGGCTTGCAAGTGCTCCACATGTTATACGTTCCCTGCCAAAACTGACTTTGACTCAACCTGAAGCCCAGAAAATAGGGCACCCATCAGTGTGTGCTAAGGCAGTCTGTGCTTTGTGCGCATGCTCCATGAACAGCGCGCTCAGAATGCACTCAGCTTCCGACAGCCCAGACTCCAGCTGCAGGGTGGGCTCGCTCTGTGATACCTATCATGGCCTGCAAGATTCAGTTCCAATTCACTAATGATTGCTCTCTGTATGTGTGTACATACTTATTTAAAAAGTGAACTCTACAATTACATCTCCTAGTAAGTTTTATTAAATGAATACTTGTGTTTGCACATAGTCCCTAGAGAGTAGGTTTGACCTGGAAGAAAGACTGGGAAAAAGGCGGAATTTGTAGATGAGGGGGACGAAGACTGTGTGGGTAGGAGAGCAGTTGAGAGGCCAGTGAAGTGACCTCAGGCTTAGTTTAGGTTTAGTGAAGTCCCTGGCAGAATCCCATTAGATGGACTGGACTTTGTTGGTGCTGCATTCGTTTCCCAGTGTCCATTTGTTTGTCATCTTTTCTGATTTCACTCAGAATATCTGAGTCCCCGTTTCTGAGTCTCCAGCCTAGAAACTGATGTCTGGTTTTCTGATAGCCGTTCTTAGCTCTGACCTCTGCTGGTTTTGTTTTCATTTTTGCCTGTCTCTCTGGTGTTTTCAAAAGCACGTGCTGTGGCTGGCTAATATTTATGGGAACTGATTGGACCAAAAATACTTCTTAGAGGAAAAGTCTTCCTTAGTAATTAACTCTTTGCAAAATCCCTTATACAGGAACTCTTCCTGGATTGAGCTTTCCATTCCTAGGTTGCTTAGGACCTTCTCAATCATCTCATGCCCTGGTGAGTGTTTCATCCACTCTAGGCACATTCACTTTGATTGCATGTTCCTTTTGTGGCCCTTTTCAGATACTGTGTTTTGTTATATAAGGAATTCTGAGAGGAAGAAGGTCTGATCTGGGACTTTTTTTTTTTTTTTTGCTTTTTAAAATTTTTTAAATTATGAAAATATTATAACACATTTATAGTAGACTTAGACAATATAGAACGAGGTTACCTATAGTTCCACTATATATTATAATTATTTTTTTAGTAGATAAATTAAGATTTTTAGTTGGAGTTTCAATATCATACTCTCAAAAGTTAGTAGAATCAATATGCAGAGAAGTAGGAGAGAGTAGACCTGAAAAGCACTGTGAACCAATTCAACGTAATTAAGATTTATACAATTTCCACACAACAGTAGGATACAAATTCTATTCAAATTCCCATAGACTATAAACTAGGAGAGACTACTGGAACATATCAGGGACATAAAACCAAGTGCAAAAATTTGATGGCATAAAGGTAATAAAATAATACAGAGTCTGTTCTCTTATCACTGTGGAGGTATGTTAGAGATCAATATCAAAAGATATTTGAAAATAGTATCCTAACATGAGATACCAGGTCACCGCAGCTGTCTGACTCCAACCAGTGGTGATTCCTGCGGCCTGGCCAAAGTCAGGCCACAGGGAGCTTTCTTCACTGGAACTCGTGCCAGTGGTATCTCAAGGAAAAGGGGTAAGTAGGAGCCATTGTTCACTCTCCGGCTTGCTTATGCTTTTACTAATACCTGTGCCCTTACGGCAAGTTCTGTATTGTCAGTTGGAGAAGGGAGAGCAACCACAAGCCTTGTTTACAGATGGTTTCAGTTGCTATGCTGGAGTCACCAGTCTTGGCAAGTGGAGATGTACTGTTCCTCTCATTTCAGAGAGGAACAGAGGTTTCAGAGAGGAACAGAGGACTTTGTATATTACTTTAATATTTTTTTCAATAAAATGTTTATGTTCGAAAAGAAAAAAAAAGATATTTGAAAATAACCCACATATTTTCAGGTGCAGTGTTACATTTACCAGAGATCTTTGACTTAGTCATTGAAAGGTTCAATACAGTTGGAAGACAGGAAAAAAACATAGAGGGTGATTGCAGAGAAGAAAACATTTAAAAGAGAAATTAATATCAAAATGAGA